TAAAATTTTATAGAATTCATTTGTAATTATACACTTTTTATATACATATTTTTATTTTAAATTACATAACATGAGGTAATTATCTCTCAAATTATTATCCATTCCACTTCTCTCATTTTTATTGAAAAGAGATTTTTATACTTATACTTTGATTTGATTAAAAAGTATGGAATTTAATTCTGAATCTTTTAACCAAAATAAATCCTGAACATTTAAATAGGGCTAATTCAACTGCTATCAATTTTAATGATTTCTTTGATAAACATTTTTAATGAAATTTGGTAATGAAGTCTATATTTTTAATGATTACTAAATACTCTTCCATTTTGAACTCTCTCACTCTCATCCTCAAATAATGAGGTTATTTTTTATTAAAAAAATAATTAGAGTATGAAATACAATTGAATTTCCCAAAAACTTCTTTTTTTTTTGTTCAAAATAAGTATAGAATTGAGTTAAATATAAAATTTTTTCTAACCCTCACCATTTGTGAGGTCGATGACTGGAATTAGTCTAACAAATTTCATGATTTATAAGTTTACAATTAAATTCCACACTTTTTAATTAAACCAAACATAATAAATATAGGTTAACAAAAAGAAAAACATAAGAAGTATAGAATTATAAATGACTTTCACAAAACTTTGATAAAATTAAACATAAGGGTTTGAATTATGGAATTCAAATAATTAGTTTTTAATCAAACTAAATATAATGATGATATAGATTTAAAAACAAATTACACAATTTTTTGTGGAATTTATTTAAAACCAAATATTAGGTGTTTGGATTAACAATTCAAATCAGTAAATAACTAATAAATGATATCTCATGATCCATACTTATTATTGTATATAATATAATTTTTTTTTAATTTAATTAGTCTAAACTACTAATTGTTAATTTCAAATCTCTATACTAAATACTCTTACAATGGGACAAATAAAAACGTGATCATATAATTTATTTGGTGCATACATATTAGAGATTAAATCTTAAACATATGAATAAAGAATACATGTAACTCTATTATCAAACTACATCATTGATGGTATGTGATAATATACATATATTTATCATACTACATTAGGATTGTAAGTTTCCAATACCACTTAATATATGCCATGTAAGATTTTAAACTTATAAAAACTTATTTATAATTATAACGTATTAGTAAATGAGTAAATACATACAATAATAATTATATTATAGTATATCATGATTATAAACTGAAAATATTATGTAATATTATAAACACATAACGTAAAACAATATCGTAGTAAAAGCTAAATATAGTGCTTGCAAATTTGACAAGTCTATTAAATATGTTTCAAAACAGAAACAAAATGCATATAAAACTCCTTCTAGTCATATTTACTTGTCCTATTTTATTTATTTATGATTGCTACGGCTCTATTTAGAATAAATGTAATTTTGAATGTGTGGTTTAGTTTTCAAAAATTTAAAATCCTTAAAATAAAATTAAGAAGATTTATAAATTAATTAATTTGAAATTTTAAGTTTTAATTTTTAATGTTAATTTTAAAAATTATTAATTAT